CGTTTAGTGTACTGTATTTCATTGTATATTTTTAAAAAAAATTTGAAAAAAAAAAAATTTTGAATTTTTTATTTTTGAAAATTTTATTTCTTTTATTTTTTATTTTATCTATATCGGACTTACGACCATATCGGACTTACGACCTGGATTTGGGTCCCTAACCCCGTCGTAAGTCGGGGTATATATATATATATATATATATATATATATATATATATATATATATATATATATATAATCAACGACCTCACCAGCAAGGAATCGAACCCTCGACCTACTGGGTGTGACTAGGGAACGCTTACCGGCTAGGCCACAAGGACACTAAAAGCAGTTCTAGTCTCTGTTATATTTCACACAAAGCCTGTTCATCGAGCTGATGGCGCCGTGAACCTCATTGGGAAACTGCCCGTGCCTCTTATGTGGTGTCAGTAGCATTTTACCGAATCCAGCTGGTATGAAACGCGAGGTACATATATATACTTCATTTTTAGTCCATATAACACGCGGACTTTGAACAGATAATCAACGACCTCACCAGCAAGGAATCGAACCCTCGACCTACTGGGTGTGACTAGGGAACGCCACTGCCAGCCCACAGCGACACCAAAGCAGTTCCTAGACTCTGGTTATATTTCACACAAAGCTCGTCTATTGGGATGATGGCTGCCATTAGGATTTGAGTGAAAAGATTACTGCAATATACTTACTTACATAAGATGACACACAATATATATATATATATATATATATATATATATATATATATATATATATATATATATATATATATATATATATATATATATATATTCACAATATTTTATAATCGCAGTCATGTACTGAATATTCTATGTAAAAAATATAAATTTTAAATGAATTATTTATAATGTGGTGGACTTCCTACACAAAGACCGGCTATAAATAGCCGTCTTATCTCCCCTCCCCCTCCATCCCTCTGTTCTCAGAGAGGTGTCTTGGTAAATAACTTTTGTTTGTTTATTTTCATTGTTTGTCTAATTTATCATGTTGTATCAAAGTAATATTACTAAAAGTTTTAGGCAGCTACCAAACAGGGAGACTCTACTGCCTGGAAAGATATTGGAAGCACAATGTACAGTATTGTCTAATGGTAGACCCTAGTTCCATATGGCATCACAAAAATTGTGACCAAGTCTTAGGTTGCTGATTTATCTTTCTGCCTCATTTATACACAATTGCAGAGTTTCAATTGTTTCTCTTCCTTTGACAACACAACATACATACAATATAATGTTTCTCACCTTTGATCTTTTTTCCATTTATTTATGGTTGGTTATTTAAAATAATGCCAATTCACTTCAAGTATTGGCATCAAATTTTACCGGCTGGTGTACACTAGTGACTCACTTAAGCGGCAGTTATTTAATTGGAACTAATGTTGGTGTGAGTAAAATATTTCCATTTACTTGAAATAGATTTGCCGATTTATTTGTTTATTTATTTATTTATAATATACTGTAATACATTAAACACACTGCAAGTATTTTCTTTAATTTATATACTTGTTTCGTGAAAAAGGGAGGCTACCATTATACCTGGTAGGTGAAGTTGACCAGAAATTTATGGTGATCATTAAGGACCAAACTCCGAATCCATGACGTGACTTTTGTTCATCATTCTCATCCTAAATTTACCACTGTCGGTAGTTTCAAGAATTAACGCAGTCATTTACTGAATATTCTTTGTAAAAAAATGAAATTTAAATTAATTATTTATAGGAGATAAGTATTATGATCAGTAAATATACAGATATGCATTACTGACCACCTCCGAACACAAGGACGGCTAAAAATAGCCACAGGCGGTCACAGTCAAGGTCACTTTCCCTTTCTTGTCACTGGCAAATGGGGGTGGGGGGAAAGGGGTGATGATAGCAGCTGTGTTTATTACCGGGGTATATTGTTCTTTTATGGTATGTTAGACAGGTTTATAATACATTTTTATTATTTTAATATACCGGTAATCTTCATTTTAATCCAGCTTCCCAGACGTAAGTTTCAGTATAAAATAATTAGTGGCAGAACCTTGTGAGAGGTTTACCATGTTTCCATCACCACTCTTGACACGCTAAACCGTAATATTTAAGAGGTAAGAATTTTATCTCTGGTGCTTAAGACGACCCCCTAACTTTGGGCTGATTTTTTTTTTGTTCAAATTCCGTCTTGTAGGCCGAGATATACGGTAGGTGTAACTTAACGCGGTTTTCACTTAACGCGGGACCCTCTGGGTTCAATTGACCGCGTTAAGTGGGGTACAACTGTATATATGTGTATATATATATATATATATATATATATATATATATATATATATATATATATATATATATATATATATATATATATATATATATATATATATATATATATATATATATATATACACCCTGTATATATGTACAGAAATACCCTGGTTATCTTTTTACTTTTACTTTTATCCTATTCGACCCTGATTGGCTCATTAACCGCTTGGGCAGAGGGGATGCATTACTAAAAGTCATTGCAATTGATGAAACTGCAAATATCTGGGCAATTTTTCCCATAAGAATTAATATAAATGGGGAGATGTGTTCCCAGCCAGCAACTTACACCACATATTTTCCGATATTCAGTGATCCCTCAGTTAACGAGCGCCTTGGTTAACGAGTTACCTCCCATAAGTTTAACTTTAAAAATCATGTATTGACATTGTTTGAATCCAGCATGGGGCCTAAGAGATCAAGAAAAGCGATTTCAATCCAAACCAAGCAGGAAATTATAAAAAAACATGAACAAGGCATTAGAACAAATGCGCTATGCAAAGAATATGGCATGTCGATATCAACTGTGTCGACAATTCTTGCACAGAAAGACAAATTTAAAGAAGTGAAAGTGAGAGACAAATCTACCAGAGTGTTTAAAAGTAGATCCCTAATCGCAGAAACTGAGAGGTTACTTATCATCTGGATTAGGGAAAAACAGATGAAAGGTGATTCAGTTTCTACTGAATTCATTTGTGAAAGAGCCAGGGAGATTTACGAACATTTAAAGACAGATCAACCTGGTTCTTCAGGCACAGAATTTGAAGATTTTTGGGCCAGCAAAGGCTGGTTCAAAAAATTTAAGAAAAGAAGTGACATTTTCAGTGTTGTTAGGCATGGTGAGGCTGCTAGTGCTGATAAGGAAGGGGCAGCAAAGTTTTTAGATGAATTTAAAAAACTGATGGAAGAAGAAAATTATCTTCCACAGCAAGTGTTCAATGTGGACGAAACTGGGCTGTTCTGGAAAAAGATGCCCAAAAGAACATTCATCACCAGAGATGAAGCCTCTTTACCTGGGCATAAACCCATGAAAGACCATCTCACTCTATTGCTTGGTGCCAATGCTTCAGGGGATTTCCGACTGAAGCCTATGCTTGTCTACCACTCTGAAAACCCCAGGGTGTTCAAGCAACAGAAAGTGGTAAGAGCAAAGCTTGGAGTTTATTGGAAGTCCAACCGTAAGGCATGGGTGACAAGACAGCTCTTTAATGAATGGGCTGTTGAGGTGTTTTGCCCTTCTGTCAAGAGCTACCTAACCACCAATAAACTCCCTTTAAAGGCTCTTCTCCTTATGGATAATGCTCCTGGTCATGAACCTGAACTTGCCAGAACTTTGGAGTATCAATTTGACTTTGTGAAAGTGTTGTTTTTGCCTCCCAACACTACATCAATCATACAGCCAATGGACCAGAATGTGATCAGCAACTTCAAGAAGTTGTACATGAAGAAAATGTTTAGGAGGTGTCATCAGGCAACTTCCAATGATCCTGAACTAACACTGAAACAGTTCTGGAAGACACAATTCAACATCCTGGAGGCTGTAAAATTGATTGTGTCATCATGGCAAGAAGTCTCCACTAGATCCCTCAATTCTTCATGGAAAGCACTGTGGCCATCAGTAGTCCATGATTTTGAGGGATTTCAGGATGACACAGAGTTGGACCAGGAGATTGTGTCCATTGGTCAGTCATTGGGCCTTGAAGTGGAGGAGAAGGATGTGGAAGAGCTTGTGATGTCTCATGAGGAGGAACTTACTCCTGATGACTTGAAGTAACTGGATGAGATGTTAGAGGCTGACAATGGTGAGGAGGAAATGGAAAGTGATGACCATATGTCAACTAAAGAGTTGAAAGATGTGATTTACCACTGGGAGAAAATCAGGGAACTGGCTTCAAAGCACCCAGATGTGGAAAAATCTGAACCAACTTTGTGTCATGTTGAGGACGCAATGGTCTTCTTTAAACACAAGTTAATGGTGAGGAGAGATGCCCCACAGACCACAATTGACACTTTCTTCAGTAAAAGGCAGAGGGAACAAGATGCTATCCCTCAGCCTTCCACTTCAAGAAGGAGAGAGGATGTTCATGGTGGAGAATCTGTCAGTCTAGAGGTTCCTGACATTTTCATGGAAGGTGACTCACCTTCCAAGAAGCAGTAAAATGCTTCTCCTCCACCTCCACTTCCTTCTCTTCTCCCTTCTCCTCCTCCACCTCCCACTTCAAATTCACATCAGCATCATCATCCAGGAGCCTTCTACATACACACCTCAAAGTAAGTGTAATTTTATAACTTTTTTGTTGAATTTAGGCAATTTTCGGTGAGCTGGAACCAATTACCCAAAACCCATTGAAACAATGGTTTTGGTTAACGAGCAACCTGCTGGAACGGATTGTGCTCGTTAACCAAGGGACCACTGTATCACTTCCTAGTGACATTTCCTGTTTTATTCATAGTAAGTAAGTATTGTTATTATATGCACATTCAGAAGTAAATAGATTTAATCTATTTTGCATGTGTTACATTCAGCCTTACTGTGTATACCACTCTCTTCAAAATACAATTCCATGTACCGTATGAAGAAAAAAAAAGTAGCAATGTCATTTCACATTTAGACATGTAACACATTACTTCAAGCTTGAGAAAATCAAAAACCAAAACATACCTTCAGTACTCTTTCCAAGTGGAGCTGCTTGAGTTCTCTCTCAAGCCGTGATGGCAACCCTGGATACATGGTTGACCCACCAGATAAAACAATGTGCTTGTACAACTCCGGCCGAATATCAATATCACAGCGCTGGATGGTGTCAAAAAGGAGTTCAGCAATGCCTTGACCTTCAACATTGATCAGATGAGGCTGGAACAATGCTTCTGGAGCCTCAAACCGTTCCCCACCCACCTGAAATAACATAATAAAACTATTAATTATGTAGAAAGTCACAAATTATGTCACCATCTATACTTTATACGGTATATACTTTACTGAACAAGCAGTGCACAGAAAGATATCCACTCCAAATTCCTTGGGGATGAACAGTGTTTGATTTATGGATGTTTTCAGAATCAACATAATGATCTTCACAATGGGTCCATCTTGAGGTATAAACAGTACTTAAATGGAGGAGTGGTAATAGACACAGAGGAAGACAATGGGTAATATCAACTAGGTCAGAAGTAGAGATATTAGACAGGTATTCCTACTACAGGTGTTACTACAGGTGTACAGTACAGGTAAAAAGTACAAGCAAGGAAATAGCATACTGGAAAAAGGTGTATGTTAAGCATAAAAAAGCTCTAATGATAACCACACAAGACCCATGTTGCAGGTTTACCTTAATGATGCGACCATCAGGCAGTTGATAATTTTCAACAAGAACAGTTGTCTCTGTCGAAAGTTTTTGCTCCTGTTCAATGTTGTAGCCAACGTAACACAGTTTTTCCTTCATCATGCGCACTGTCTCAAAGTCAGCAGAGTGATTGAAGGCATACCCTCGCAGCAGGAGCAGTTTGATCATGTAGACGGTGATGTCACGCCCGGCTATATCTAACCTCCTGGACATTAAGGAATATTATTAGCTGCAGGAAAGCATAATGTTCTATATATCAATAAATCCTTAACCCACTTATTGGCAAATGAAAAAGGTTGTGTGACTAATACTACGAGCCTGACAGTTACCAGACCTCCTCACAGTCACTTTGTATACTTCCTACCCGACCAAAAATTTTATATAAATAATTCATTATTGTATTGATCTGCTGAATTCTTACAATACTTTTGTATACATTTATCTTGTACAAGAGTTGATCTATTACAGGCTGCTACAATTAACTATCCAGTCTTACATGGTGCTATACACTCTACCTAAAGTTTTACCTGATCTGAGGAAGGGTAAAACCCTCATACACAGGACAGATGTGTGTCACGCCATCACCAGAGTCCACCACCACGCCCGACTGCAGCCCCTGAGCGTACAACGTCAACACCGCCTGGATAGCCACAAATGCGCCAGCAAAGCCATACTTTTCAAACATCATCTGCAAATTAGATGCCAGGAGTTAAGTGCAATGAAGATGAATTGCACAAAAAAATAATGTACAGTATTCCAGGTAATGTAATCATTCCAGTTATTCACTTTGATACTTTTCATGATCTTAGGACCAATACAAATGGCAGTTTATCAAGATTAATAAGTTTTTTATCTAAGGGTTATATGAAAAAGATTGCTGGGCTGCCAAGATCATCATATCCAAAGACCCACTGGATGATGTTGACCGATTAATTACTGACCTCGTCCAAAATCTTGTTAAATATCTACATACAAATTGGATTGAAACCTCATCTCTGTTTGCTTCCTTCGTGCTTACAAATGTTCGAAGTCTTATGTCTACAATTCTCAAGTTTTAGAAAATAATAAAAGTGATGTCCCTAAAGTGAAGGGATTAATCATGTGACTGTAACAAACTAGTTCAGGGTGTTTCATTGTTTACACTACCAGAGCAAAAATCAATGTTCCCTTTTTTTCATGTGAAGGGAACTACAACAAAACAACAAAGATGACGGAGAAATAAACACTGGAGGAGAGTCGATTTAGCATTCATGTATAAAAAATCCAGATCCTACACAATACACACCAATCAGTTGAAAAAAAAAAGACAAAATTTAATTTTCCTATGGTGCAGGACAATGAGACACCCTATACAAGCGAGGTTCAAAGCAACAACATAACATACCTCAAGCATTCTCTCCCTATTCTTGGTTGGGTTCATGGGCGGCTCAGTTAGCATAATCTTGCACTCGTGAGGATCAAGGTCCATTTTCTCAGGACCGAACGTGTAGTCCCAAACATGACACATATCATCCCAGTTCTTGACGATCCCATTTTCCATTGGGTACGTCACTTCCAGCATCGACCGTAACTTGCTGGCCTCATCTCCCACCATAAGATCCTGGGGGGTGAAGATTACATGAAAAAATCCAAGATAATTGTCAGCCGTGGGCAATGTAGATGATTTAGCCTAAAATGGATTCTGTTATCTATGTGATCAAAACAGTTTAACCTTATATTCGCCAAAAGATGTATCAAGACTTTTTTTTATTATGATTACCGATCTAAAAAGACTAACACATTTACAGGAATTTTACTTTCATAATGTCAGTTCCATCAACTTAATACATATTTGAATTAAATTTAAAAATATCCTTATAAATTTTTGAATACGACATTCTATTAATCCAATGATCTTAATTACAATTCTAAAAAATTATAGAAAATATAATTAATTTCCTACTACTGCAGCAAAACCACTCATGTCCACATACCCTTGGGACTGACAGTGTGGCGACCTGGAGATAATACGAGGTAGCAAGTGACTTCTAACAAGGACACAGTAGACCTTGGCACCATAAACCCACAATACAGGATCAGGTACAGTACAGTATGATGCAGATGTTTGGACCTATAAACCATATACCCAACTTCTCATGCACAGTACAGTATAATAAAAGGTACATATGACCCAGCTAGGAATGGAAATAAATGCATAAATCAATATACAGCTGTACAGTAGTTTGTATTCACCAATTAAGAAACTGGTGCAATACACAAATGAGTTCCAGTACAAGGCAGGAGCAATAAAAATTCTCATCAAGGCTAAAATACAGATTTATTCCCTAAAGTATTAAGCCAAAGCTGCTGCCTAGAGAGGGAGAGAGAGAGGATTTGACTCAGATTTCACCTCTGCCGATTTAGGAAAAGACATAACAGAGAGGCTATCTACTGTCCAAATTCACTCGACTTATAACACGGACTTTCACACCAACCAACAAACTCCTTCAGTAACCTAACCCACCAACAAACTCCTTCAGTAACCCAACCCACCAACAAACTCCTTCAGTAACCCAACCCACCAACAAACTCCTTCAGTAACCTAACCCACCAACAAACTCCTTCAGTAACCTAACCCACCAACAAACTCCTTCTGTACCCTAACGCACCAACAAACTCCTTCTGTAACCTAACCCACCAACAAACTCCTTCAGTAACCTAACCCACCAACAAACTCCTTCTGTACCCTAACGCACCAACAAACTCCTTCAGTAACCTAACGCACCAACAAACTCCTTCTGTAACCTAACCCACCAACAAACTCCTTCAGTAACCTAACCCACCAACAAACTCCTTCTATAACCTAACCCACCAACAAACTCCTTCAGTAACCTAACCCACCAACAAACTCCTTCTGTAACCTAACCAACCAACAAACTCCTTCTGTAACCTAACCAACCAACAAACTCCTTCTGTAACCTAACCAACCAACAAACTCCTTCAGTAACCTAACCAACCAACAAACTCCTTCAGTAACCGAACCAACCAACAAACTCCTTCAGTAACCTAACCAACCAACAAACTCCTTCAGTAACCTAACCAACCAACAAACTCCTTCAGTAACCTAACCAACCAACAAACTCCTTCAATAACCTAACCAACCAACAAACTCCTTCAGTAACCTAACCAACCAACAAACTCCTTCTGTAACCTAACCTAACCAATATCAACTCTCTTTAAAAGGATGATGATGGGAATGATGTGAACATGTACAGTGGTGCTTCTTTACATGATGAACAGTTCAAAGAGTACAGAGGTGTTAATGAAGTCTTCTATCATGTCGATGTGAGGCTTACAGAAGTTACTGGAATCATTACAAGGTCTAGTAGCCGTTGAAAACACCGAACAAATGGTTTCTAAATTTACTTAATATTTAGGATTGTAGCTTAAAAAGATCGTTCCTTTCCATCATCATCATCATGCTCTTCTTCACGACCTAGAATTTTGAGCAAGATTTTACCATCAGTTAAGTAAGCCTTGGTACACCATCACCATACCACTGCTTTATCTCTTCCCCATAAACAAAATCTGACATACAAACAATTATAATTAATGTAGTTATGATTGCAGTATTTTCTGTTCTGTATTCAAGCCACAGACTATTATGTACAAAGTCTCAACCACTGTATTCTTTAATTACTTTATATACCATTATTCGTGGTTGACTGTACCAACTGTTCTGAAACTAGTGGACTAACACTGCTCAGAAAACCATGAACCACATCGACCCCTTGAGTAACAATATTTTTTTTGTGGACTGTATGAACATAATAACAGAAATAAAATCTTAGAACAGGTCAATATAAACTGCAATATAAGTACTGTACAGTATTACACCACAGAACAGAAATACACTACAATACAAGATAAATACAACAATCAGCTGGGAGGCAGAGCAGCAGCAGTTACTACAAATACCATCCATCATCATCTCCAAAGTACAACATTTATGAGCTGAATCTAATGAATTAACCGAAAACTTATAAAAGCAACAATACAAGTGGTGACTATTACTGCAGAGTAATAAAAAATTACCACTTTTGAAAGAATATATGAATACCTATGAACCTCCCAAGCCCAGATAACAAAGGCTATGGTACATATATTGTACCTATGTGCTGCAGGGATGGAACACTCCAAGGTGTATGAATAAGCACAATGTAAGGAAGTAAAAGGCAGATTTATAGAACTAGCTGGAGTTGTGATGTGACTAACAACAAGAACCAATATTTTCCAACACTACAGTACAGTAATGTACATGACTCAGTAACTCTGTTTCTTAATAAAAATCTTTTACAGACAAACAAGAAAAATTTTAACTCTTTATTACAGCTTCACTTCCGTTATGGTACCAAAATCTTCAAATTTATTAGCCAAGAAACTTGGAAATAACAGTGACTCACAAAAACTAGCATACAAAATCCTCCTAACACAGGAATACAAAACTACAAAAACTTTCTTCATCCTGTACTACTGTACCTACTACTTACCTGCATAGAGACCTTATTACATAAAAACACCAGGAAAAAAAAGAAGTGAACTGATCTTGGTTTTCCCATTTTCTGACCATCTCTGGACTAAGCAACACCTTCATAGTCCCACCAAGACAACAGGTGTTAAAGCCCAGGAAACCCCTAGAATACTGGCAGCTGGAGCGAGTCTATTACCTATTCATGCCTTACTGCTAAAACTAACAGCCTGTAGGAGAAATAATTAATGGCACATGTTCATATAAGACCCAAGGAGGAGTGATGATGTTACACCAGCTGTTGCACACCTCACTTTTCATCAGCCATAACTTGATTCCAGGATCACCCACTCAATGACAGTAGACATTCTCAAATATCCCGAGGGAGGGTGAGTCAGTTACCTTGTCCAGACTAAGTCATACAAATAATTATGACCTTATGTTTTTCCTAAAGACCTCACATATCTGTTTGCCGACCCCAAGGGTGTTTCATGAGAAGTCATCTTTGCATACTGTGGGAAGGACTATTTGAAGTGCCGTTGTGAAGATTCATCACCCTCGTCAATATAGCATACAGTACAATACAATATTTCTACAACTTAATTCTATGTTCTATCCTTCCTACTACAACATTCATAGGAGAGAAATGACCAAATACTTTTAAACTCTTAAAATATATACAGTATACTGTATCAATTTGACATACAAGTCACCATCTTCCTGCCCTAACTGTAAACTGAAGTCTCCACATCATCCACAACACCAGGCCAGTGTACACAATCTCACTCACTAGACACAATCATCATCTTGAAGTGAATAGAAAATAAGTTTGCTAAGCATGAGGTAACCTTACATTCCCAGTCAGCACAATGTCTGTCATAATAACTTAACTAAAAAACTCCACACTATCAAGATTAAGACTGCAATAAGACATTTTCACCATGGCATGAGGCACCTGGAATTAAGTAGGTTACAGTAAGTGAGGTACACACAGCTGATGTGACTCACTGCCTTATGTGGTTCATCTGTTACTAAATTCCTCCTCAAGATGTTGGTCTTAGTGTGGGAAGATCAAAGATGCAAATAATGAACAAATTAGTCTTGGGTTTCATGAATTTTAACAGCACTGAGTTAATGGTATAATATACAAGCCACTTAAGCCAGATATAAGGTCATAAAAAAATGGTCAAATTTTCCATGTGGTTTAGTGCATATCTTATCTGCTTTCATCATTTTCATTAATTACTTTAAACTCTTTCTTTAATTTATTTTTACATTAAAGCAAGTATATGTTAAATAAATAAAACATTCACTTTATGAGGAAATAAACAAACAGTCTTCAATACACAAGAGAAGAAACTACAATACAAAACAACAGGAAACTCCAAAACACAAAGTTACACATATACAGTATTAGTCTCCTTACTAAACTTAACAACACACAGGCACCAGAGCACACAACCATGCACACCCAGTGACAACATGTGACTCGAGGGAAGGTTTGTCAACATGTTCTCCTGGTCATCTCATTACTACTTACAGGGAAATGAGCCCACTCCTTCCAATACAAGCAGCAGTGCACAAAACAACAGTTAATTGACCATGAGTACATACAGACTGTTAGACACTTAATTGTAAGGACAAGTAAAAAAAAATCACACAAAGAAACAAAATATTTAGATGATTAAAAAGGTTGGAGCCGTATCGTTGGTGACACAATGTATAAATGTAGAGGCACTTAACTACTCTAAAATTCAAGCTTTCAGTCTTTTAGTAGTTATACAATACATACAGTATGGTACAGTATTAGGTAAATTATGGGGTAATTAATGAAGCTTAGAAATCTAAATCAACTAAGAGACAAGTATAGTTTTGTTAGCTTACAATAACATCATACCATTTAACCCTATTTTAAATTGCGATATTACATGTATATATGTGGCTGTCTTCAGTAAGGTTAAATATAATAGTGAAGCAGAAGGGCAAACCATTAATTCATTTTAAAAATAAATTTACTATGTTCTATGTGATTAACCCTTAGCAAATTTGGCCAGTATAAAAGTAAAATAAATGAGACGACTTCAGTATTAAAAAGTTAAAACCATATTGAAATCCACTGACAAAACAAAGCTGGAAATAAATATGTGTACAACCCTGCCATGACCTCTATGACCATTATATATGTAGCTATGATATTCTGAGGTGTATTGACAGCTAATAAAAGGTAAAAACTATGGTCAATGGCAGCAAAACAATAGTTAAAAAAATACCCCCTGTAAAAACTAATAACTGGACACAAAGATTAGCGCATGCTAACTACTGTATCCCTAATACCCGAGTACTGCCACTAGGATCCTGGTTTATATCTCTGGTTTTAAATATGTAATAACGACAACTGACTGCTCCGAGAAGTCGTACTAATTTTAATGTGCTTCAACTAATGTATATCAATATTTTGACACTTTTTGGCCCCGGGCTGTTAAGAACACAAAACACATAACTACTAGGATGTGGAACTGACCAAAACAATAAATAAACAAAATAAAATAGTGGAAGTTTTACTAGAGGGTAATAACAAAACCAAGGGAGGTACACTTGCAATGAATGTTAAAGGCTCCTATTGCATACCTGGGATCAACATCACTACTCAAAGTATTTAGAAAAGTCAAAACAAATCAGTACTCATGAACACGACTGGGGTTTTAGCATACAACCTGAACCTTTGCTCTCAAATGTGCTTACACCTATAAATTCCTGCAACAAATGTGGAAAAAAATATTCTTACAGTTCAAGAAAGCAAAAGGAAATTTACTTACACCCGAAACAAAAAAAGTGCAAAATATAAATAAATGAATAAATAAACTCAGTAAACTATAGATATGAAGGATCATGTGAAGTAACAGGGTAATATAGTAAATCAAAATACTGTATAATCTTAACACCGAAAATTAACACACTGTTCCCTAATTACTTTTACTGTATTATGAGTAATTTTATTATTAGTTGAAAAAATTATAAGAAACAATTGTATGGAATATCTTGATAGTTATCACTTGAGGTCTTGCTTAACCTAATCTTTAATGGTGAACCTTCACAAACAATTCTGGATAGCAATAAGTGTAGAACATATCCAATAAGTCGATAAATAAATAAGGTCTTATTAATTGAAAACTTAACATGAAACAAACTAAACAAAGTCATTTAACTAGTAATCTTAAATGAAATAAAGTTCTTCAGAGGTTATTTGTTATTATGAACAGAATCTGCCTCTAAACAAGTCTATATTCAGCAATTAGGATAATATCTAGTGACCAAGTTATCTTATTAAACACTAAAGTAGTACACGACAATAATCATCAGCACCACAGTGAAGCCATCAGCGTGTGGAAGGCAGTGAAGAAGCTCGCACATTAACCCACAACTATGGCCACTGATTTACCAGGTTCAGAACACAGTCATACAGGTCTGTCAATCACTACCAAATCATCAAACTCCAAACTAAAAATAGCTTAGTGATATAGAAAGGTAGTGACACCTGAATTTTCAATGATTTATGAGGTAGCAGTTAGAATTACGGTATTGCTCTAAATACAGTAGTAAAATATATTAAACACTTCAGGTTCTCTTGCAAGTCTTCTCCCATGTGGGTAGAATCAAGAAAAACTCCTCCTCTCTCGTTATTCACTTTTAGCTATAATGAATATACTGTACTGTACTGTACTGTATTTGTAAGTTCAGAATTCTGCAATAGCTTTAATACTTTTACTATTTTAAAACAGGAAAATCATTGGCTTTACCCAGAATTAAGACACACCAATAAGCTGTGAGCCTTCAGCATTCCTGACAAATTTACATTGTGGAGTACAATAATAGGGCAAAAGGTACAGCAAATGATAAATAGACTGTTTAAGATAAACTGACATGGGAATTTTTTTCTTCTAAATTCACACTATTATGTGTAACAACCCCATAATATCAAATACTGTGCCTTGCCAAAATTATGTTCTTATAGACTGTCCCCTGTACTGATGCCTACTTTGTAAAAACTCAACCCTGCTTTCACACATTTGCCTCATATATTTTGATAAATATATGAGCAAATACCTCACCAACTCATGGTATGTGTTGTGTTGGCATACAAGGGTTTTCTAAATATTTCATCCTGTGTCCCAGAATAAAAAGTATGGAAAGTGTTGCAATAACTTTGGTGCTACTATAGCGTGCGGTCTACAAGATATTTAGGTTAGGTTAGATTAGGTCAGGTCAGGTTAGGTCAGGTCAGGTTAAGCTAGACTAAGGATATCTTTGTAGACCGCACGCTATAGTAGCACCATAATCTTTTTGTTGAATGTACAGTACCAGCCTTTTCTCGGAACACAACCCTCAGCATAAACAATGGTAACCCGTACAAAACATCAATCATTAATCTCCATTAACATAACTCCACAGTTTGTTTATACTGTATATATTGCAAATATATTCTATGAATATACAAACTCAAAAATCAACTGTTATGGGTACGCCTGTGGAAAGGTTAAACTCAGAAAACTAATTCTCAATAAAGTAGAGTACAGCACTTCCTATTACACTTCACTGTAATGTAGATGATTATTGTAAATGCTAACTACAGCAAATTAAGTTATTATATCTTTCTTGGACATCACAAAGTCTTACCTTGACTTCTATGTCACCGATCTTGTTTGTGGCTCTGATGATGGGCCGACCCACCATTGACGGGAAGATGTGTGCTGGGAAATTGCAACCTGCATATCCAACTTTGACAAACTGTAATTGATTGACAAAGTTTATTAGATGCGACATGGTTAATTGGTTATGAAGAAAAATGTACGCTTGAGCCTGAAATGTTATTTGCCACCTAAGCACACTGCCAACCACCCATCTTTCCCCTTGACAACCACAGTATGGCATAACCTCTCAAGTTTACCGATCAACATTTTGCAAAGTGACTTATTTTTTGTGGACTTTTATTATAAGTCAATCTGTGTTATGATACAGTACACCCAGGGTCAATAGTTCGCTCTATCCCAAACTGAAGCAGTATCGACCCTAAGTGTGAAAAAAGCAGCACATACGCACCAGATGACATTCAAGATTAAAGCACATTGCTGTCTTCAACTATTACCCCAGTTTCATTATTCTATTACATAATTCCAAAATTAAAGAGTGCTTAGAAAGTATGTTATTACTGATATTAAAAAAAAGCAGAAAAAATAGTGATTGCAACAAGTTTTCTGCTGTGGTAAAGCAAAATAAGACATCATAAATTATTATCAAATGAACATATCCATGAAGACACCAATAATAAAAAAATAGAATGACAACCATCTCCTTAACCTTTACCACAAGGGTTCAGAAAAAAATGGTTACGTCAATTCAGAATAACTTCCTATACACCTTGCTATGACTGACCTACCAATGGATGTAAATATCGATTCAGTAAGTATATAAGGGCACAATGACTTTAAATCAATAAGTTCATAGATAGCAAACCCCCCCCCAAAAAATATTATAACAGTATCTACGAAGCTTAACTTGTCATATCTCTAACGTCATCCGGTACTTCCATCACCAGATTCAGCCTCCTTGAATCTTAACCTTTATAACACATATATAATATCTCCCGGTGGACTCTCTTCCCACCACAGTACTTATTGACACACTCACCCCTGTTCCATTGTCACAAACGACGATTTTTCTGCCTTTACTGTCCATTACGAGCAGTAGATGGTGGCGGGTGTAGGGGGTGTGAAGAGTGTTTGGGTGTTGACTGACTCACTCCTTCACCTCCACCAACTGTACTGTGTCTTCTTTCTCCCAGGACCTACAACCCACCATCTGTTTTTCCGTTTTTTTGTGTTTTGTACCACTAGTCTGATTTGTTTCTGTGTTTTAGATCACCTGAAGAGAGTCTCCACTCCTAGTTTATTTCACCTGAAGATTAATAATCACTTTAACATTAACGCTAATGCATGCTATACGTCGGGTGGAGTCTTCTGTTTCCGGTATATGAATTATTATTCTTATAGTGATGAGTTTCATAGGTATCCCAGTGAACAACGATATATAATGAGTTATTATACATCGTTGTTCACTGGGATGATGAAATTTGACCAAGGACGGCTGACAAGCCATGAGGTGCGGTCACCCATCCAAGTAATAACTAAACCCAACGTTGCTTTACTTCACTAACAGGACAAGAAGTGATGATTCCACCATGATACTACTGCCATACTACTACTCGTAATAAATAAAGGTATCCTTCGGGTGCTTGTCCCCGGAATGCCCAAGAGCTCGCGATTTAAGGAGGGAGACGGGTGGGTTGAAGGGTGGAAGAGCCTCAAAGCAGTCAGCTTAGGGTCATCAGGTATTTATTTCGCAAAAACCTACAGTGTATTTTGTTTTCATTTTTTTTTCTAGAGCAATTGTTCATGCTAAATATAGTGTTAATGAAAGCTTGGGAACTGCTTAGTTATTAAGTTATGACCCTTTCTACCATGTCGAAGCAGAAGAAAATGTGGAATTAAAAACAAAACCCATAGAACCTAATCTGAACTGGTCATTGTACTCATTTAATGGGTAATTATTCTACATACACTAGCACACGATGCAGGTTCGTAGCCCAACACCGGTATATGATTTAGGCTCGTTTGTACTTTGCAGGCACATTCTCCCGCCACACAGTCTACTGCCCTTAACCATCTCCACAGGGCGGCAGGACGTGCAGGAAAGATTGTCCCACATGAACCAATGTGCGCTGTTCATTGATGCGATAGTAGCAAAGTAGGGAAAGGAAGGTGAGGATTTGACCAGCGTTAATATCAACCAAAAATGGTTGCCCCGATGATGCGGTAAGTGTATTAAGGGTTTTTAAAGATTGCTAATAAAAACAAAGTAGAATAGTTGATAAGTTAAATGAAAATTATTCATATTCTTGTTTTAATCAGTAATTTCAGCGTCAAATATGAGGCAATCTAGTTTACCTTTATTGTGGTCTCCGAAGAAACAGGTTTTATGAAGAGACTGTTCGGGTAATGCCCACCTTGGCGTTCATAAATAGTTTTATCATAAGAAAAAGAACCAGCAAAAAAAAAAAACTATATACATATAGAATAACTAGTGTTTTCTGTGTAAATGGGCGGCTGAGAATCGCTGTCCATTTTACTCTTCAAGAGGCATTATTTGCCGTTTATGTTAAAGGCACCGAGTGCCAATTGGACTGTCTTACAGTTTATTTTTTTATTATTTTGCCAAATATTCTCAACAGTTAACATATTTTCCCAAGTACACACACACAATCACTCACCTTCACTTGTCGGCTCACTAGCCAGTCAGTTAGGATCATTAAGTCTCGTACTGTGCATGTATGAACTCTTGCGTGTTGGTCATGCTCACAGTTGGTGCTATCTCAGTATTCTCTGTCAGGTTATTGCAAGAGCTCTCAATTCTTACTCCAGTTGTCTGTCTGACAATTTCTTTAACTTAAGGTTGTCACCTGTAGTGGGGCGGCCATCCGTTAATTCTAATTTCTCCAAATATGTACATTTATATGAACCTTTCAGGCACTAATAAACTTACACGAAATCGCTCCTTGTCCTTCTATACCATCTATAGTATAAACTGGGTAATTGAAAACGTTCTTATTTCTCCTGGTATGTGAGGTGTCTATCAGTGCCAAGCATCAGTTTGTTGGCCCTGTTTTAGATGTTTTCAATCAACTGGCAGCCTATGGTGTAATTCAGGAGACCAAACAGGACTATAGTATAGAAGTACAAGTGAGGGAGCACTACGCTATTGAAAAGCCTTATGAGCAGGCATGAAACAGTTACCATGACAATGTAATTTGTTACTCTTAATTTTACAGGTATTACAATTACAATTACAGTTGACAAAGGAATGTAAGTGATTGAAATTACAGTTAATTTGACAAATGATAAATTGCATTACGACTATGCTTGTTCCAGACGACTCGTAAAAAAAAAATTATTTTTCGTACCAAAGGTGCGGCCGCATCCCCGCAACCTCCCCGAATCAGCCATAGACAGGCAAGTTATAATAAAACATTAACATATAATTGTTGATGTCCTGTGTTTTCATTGTAATATTGTATAGATTATAATGTTACTGAACATAATTCATTACAATTAAATTTTTGGTTGTTACATACAATTACTCAACAACTAAATCGTTGATTTTTTAAATTAATATATCTCACGTCTTCTTTCCCCGTAATTACAACTTATATTTCTTTCCGAATGCACACACTATTTTTCCAAGTGCACATAACACTTTATTTTACAAAGTACAAATAACACAAATTTATTTATTTACCCAAGCATACTGCACATAACAATTTATTTCGTAGTGTGTGAATAACACATTTTCCCCCCAAATACTGCACACAGAGCACACCTTATTATACCAAGAGCATAAAACACACCTCACTTTTTCCACCTCGTTAAGTAGACTTTGTATACACGAAGGTGTTCTAAAGTTCTTAGAAGCCAAATGCCACAAACAAGCCCAGAAATACTGCAAAACAAAACCATTGTCTATATTAATAAATCAATCAGGGTATAATAATTAATTAACGGTTACGTTAAGGCCTATATTTACTGCATGTGTCGATTAGTTTTACTTGATTCCGTATATACATAAGAAAAATATTCAGTTGGACATAATTAATTTAAAAGTAGTAGGTAGGCAGCTACCAAACAGGGAGGTACTACCGCCTGGGAAGATATTGGAAGCATAATGTGTTGTCTAATGGTAGACCCTGCTGCCATATGACATCACGAAAATTGTGACCAAGTCCCAGGTTGCTGATCTGACTTTCTGCTTCATTTACACGCAATTGCAGGTCTCAATTGTTTCTCTTACCATTGACAACACAACATACATATATCGTTTCTCACTTTTGATCTTTTTTTTCATTTTTGTATTTATAGTTCTTTATTATTAATATTATTATTATTATTACAGCTTCTGTATTATTATCATTATTTTATTATTTTATTTTTGTTTGTTTTATCATAAATTTTATTTATTATGAATTATTTTGACTATTATTTATTATTATTATTATTATTATTATTATTATTATTATTATTATTATTATTATTAATATTAATATTATTATTATTACATTTTCGCCCCCCAGGCCCCAATGTGGGTCAGTGACCTGGGCCCGGGTGGGCTAATCCCCGAAAAAAAAAAAACATGATGGTTGAATTTGGAAGTAATAAATTTCATATACCCTGTACTGTATAATTATATTGTACTTGATGGCGACTGTTCCAATAGTGTTTAGTAGAACTACATTATTTATTATCTCACTCACATCATCAGAATAATATATAGCTGGAATAAAATTTTCCGAAAAACACAGGTTATAGAATTCAGAAAAAACAGATTGTACTGTAGAGGACCTAAAGGGAATCGACATACAGTGTATATGAACAAAGGCAACGCCTATCTCCAGTTTCCGGAGGTGTCTGATAACTGATGCCAAAGTTCAGTAGCCGACAAACTATTACATTATTTCTTAATTGCGCCAATATTTCATCACTAGTGGTTTTAAACTATGAACTATGAATTTATTTTGCATGCCGAATATAAAAAAGCCACTATTATTTATGATTATGAATATGGGCACACAATATAGGACTAGACTTAATTTCTACTTTTCGTCATTTAGTAGATAACTAGTTTGTTGGGCAGGTCATTTTTTTGCTACACACTGTTTGCAAGTACTGGACAAGTACGGACTTCCGAATGTTCTAGTGTTGGTCAAGTCTGAACTTAAGAAGTTGGGGTCTTTTCAGTACGATGAATCGCATTTTTTTAATAAAAACATTAATCTGACGTAGTTGTGCACTCTAATTTCAAAAATAAATATATTTTCTTTGAAAAAATAGTATAAAGTAACAAAGTTATTTAAAATCAGAAATATTGTTAGGTTAACTAGGATTTCCACTGTTTGACGTTTGTTTAACAGGCTAGCCTCTTACCATCTCAGAGCCCTATTTTTGTTTAATTTTCAGCACTTTCTCCACACACACACACATATATATATATATATATATATATATATATATATATATATATATATATATATATATATATATATAACACATATATAGTTTGAGCTTTTCCCCATCTAGTTATTATATGTCTTATTTGTGTCACTTATGATACTTGTATATTATTTGTAATTCGAAACCCATTCCCCAAATGTGTAACTGTATATTTTCAGCCTTCTGGCTGCCAAGTTCTTTCAATAAACCGTTAATTATTATTATTATTATTTATTATTATATATGCTTCATTTATAGTCCATATAACACACGGACTTTGAACATATAATCAACGACCTCACCAGCCAGGAATCGAACCCTCGACCTACTGGGTGGGACTAGGGAACGCTACCGACCAACCCACAACGACACTAAATTTGTCATAGACTCTTATATTTCACACAAAGCCTGTTCATCGAGCTGATGGCGCCGTGAACCTCATTGGGAACCGCCCGTGCCTCGTATGTGGTGTCAGTAGCATTTTACCGAATCCAGCTGGTATGAAACACGAGGTACCATATATATACTTCATTTTTAGTCCATATAACACGCGGACTTTGAACATGGACTTTGAACATATAATCAAAGACCTCACCAGCCAGGAATAGAACCCTCGACCTTTGTGGGTTGGTAGGTATGCTGCTCTGTGTCCCACCCAGTAAAGTCGAGGGGAGCTCAGATTTCGCCGGTGAGGCGTCGTTGATTATATATATATATATATATGGTATATATATATATGAGTCC